CTCGACTCACGTGCTTGACGAAGAAGAACAACAAATTTATACTGTGCGTTAAAATGCGTTAAAAATACGACGAACTGGAAACAAAACTGATGCACCAGAAAATTAACGCTTTCCATGCATCGATCTCCCTAGGTTATAGAGGTGGGTTTAATTGTTTGGGTTCGTACGCTCTTGGTCAGGCAAAACAGTCGCATTTATGACGGAGTGGCAAGTCGAGAGAAGAGCTGGCTTGTGGTCCTTGGAAGGTCCGTCACGGCCACGAAGGAGGGGGAGGGGGAGGGGGAGGTGGTGTTCCAGGTCCTCGCCCTCGACATCAAAGGCACAAGCAGCTCGAGGCTAAGCTCATACAAGCCTCGAGGACCACTCAGAACATTTTAAGCATGTCTTGCCCTTAATGGCAATCAGGGGGAGGGAAAAAATTGTAATACATCAAAAGAGGAAAATTTGTGTTGCAGGATGGTGTGTTGTCCTCGGTGTGTTGCTTGAGCACAATGTCTTCAGTGTGAGTGAGTCTGAGTAAGTCTGAGTAAGTCTGAGTAAGTCTGAGTGCACGGTGAGCTGTTTCGTTGGGGAATGAGGGTTTTCAGACTTACTGCAGGCGATGAGTCACAATAACGTGACTAAAGTATGTTGACCAGACCACACACTAGAAGGTGAAGGGACGACGACGTTTCGGTCCGTCCTGGACCAATCTCAAGTCGATTCTCGACTTGAGAATGGTCCAGGACGGACTGAAACGTCGTCGTGCCTTCACCTTCTAGTGTGTGGTCGGTTCAGACTTACTGGCTGTGGGGCAGGCAGAGTCTCAAGGAAGGATTGTTCCCGCACAGGGCTGGGGACAATACTCTTCACACCTAGATGTACGAGAGGGGGTTATTAAGGTCACTATAATAACTATACTGACCAACCAGCAAGTATACTGAACTTGCAGGTCGGGGGGATTGAACGCAGACCTGCAAGAAGCGAGGCTGTCGTTCTACCGTCCAAGTGATTCAGTGTTCAGCCCTGTAAGAGTCATGCAAGATTCGCACCAGCACACTATAGCCTCTTAGTTACACAGAGGCGGTAAACTAGCACAATCATCGCCAACTTACTTTTCAAAATAGCAAATCGCATTGCATATCAATTGTAGAAAGATGTTTTGGCATAAGAAACATCATCTCGATCAACTAATATGTCAATCGTAAGTTATGACAGTTTTTAAGACGTTCCCTTCGAGTGGAGAGAGAAAACGTATTGAGCTAGTCGTACACCCCCGTACTCCCACACCCCCTGTCTCTCCCCCTCCACCACAACACCCCCCCCTGCCCATACTACAACCACCCCCCCATGCTCCCACCACATCCCCCCCAGCCCCAACAACCCCTCCCCTGCCCCCCACAACACCCCCCGGCCTCCTCATCCCCCATCCTTCGCACCCCCAAGCCCCCCCTTCCCCGGGGTTCCCAGAAACTGAATCCAAAAAACATCTGCCAGCAGAGAATATAAATATATAAATATATATATATATACTAAACTTTCCCTATAAGTTACAATGCCACTGGAGTGTAGCAAGTGTAGGGGCGGACTACACTAGGGCCAGGATGTACCAGGGTCTACAATACCCTTCCTGTACCGTTGTGTATATGCGACGTTTGTTGCTATCCGGAGCGGCCGTCATGCGAGAAGTATGACCGTGGTCCAACCTCCCCGCTCAAAGGTCAACTACCAGGTACATCGAGTGATGAAACCACGTGCTGTCCGGTAAGTTGGGGACCTCTTCTTCCGTTAACTTTTTTCCTGCAATTGTACGGGGCCATGCACAGATTAGGTACACAGATTCATGTTCTAAAATGCGTAGAGTTGACTGTCGTATATATCCGGAGATATTGTTCTTCAACTTCTCAAATTGTCCTGGAGTTTGGTAGTGAGAATTACAGGTTATGTGAAGTGAATGACTGGATGACTTTCCCGTCCAAGTTGATATCGTCGAAGCGCTCCAGGGGATTGTTTAAAACTCCTGTTGTGACGCAGTCTGCCGACATTCTGGTCCCTGACTTATCGTCAGCACGGGCCCGAGCTCAATCCTAGACGATTTAATTGATTTAAATGTTACTGTTGAGACGTTCATGATACACCCGCCAAACACACACCGAAACTACGACGTTGGTACAACGTTCGAACAAGTTTTAATACATCCTAACCAGTTATAACAACCAATATAGCAAGTTGTAACAACGTTCTAATACGTCATAAACACGTTAAGCCAAGATGTAACAACTTTATTACAAGTTGTAACAAGCAGAAAACAGAGACAGTTTCGGTTTGTGTTTCCAGGGCAGTGACCCTCATTGGAAAGGTATTAATAACCTCCGGAAAAGTTTTGTAATTTAATGCCGCAAAATAAATCACGAATATAATTTTATTACATTGTGAATCTAAATTTCAAAAAAAGAAGGTAGTGTGGCTCCTGTAGAGTTACAGTGTTAGACATACATAGGACATTTGTCCAGGACTCGGGCGAGACGGGAGGCGAGGTCATGCCTTCTTACTTGCAGTGTTAGGATGATACTCTACCAGCCTACCAGTCGGGTAGCAACCAAACCAGTCAGGTAGCAACAAACCAGCTAAGGAGCGACGACCCATAAAGTGTAACATATCCAACAAATCTGCACGGAAATCGAAGGAAGATAAATATGTATTCAACTGGTCCTTCCATGGCAATATGTGTGTGTGTTTTCCCGCGACGGCTTGTCTCTTGTACCAACACGTTGCAACACTGGGTCATCCTCACAGCGTGTCAAAGGTCAGGGTTTGGAGATGGTCATCCACGGCGATGTAGTTTGTGTTGTATGGTTATACAGGGCGCTGTAGTGTATGTGTGCATGTTGTATGATCATTTAGAGTGTTGTGTGATCATCCAGGGCGCTGTAGTATGTTGTATGGCCAACCAAGGAGTTGTATAGTGTGTGTGTGTGTGTGTTTTCATGCAGGGTGTTGTATTGTGAGTTGTGTATTCATCCAGGGTACTGTAGTTTATGCTGTATGATCAAGCAGGGTAGCTGCAGTGTTTCTTGTATGATTACCTAATGCTGTATTGCGTGTTTTCGAGAATCCATAATATTAACATTGGAAGTGATTTCTCAATTTTAATGACAACCAAACCAAAAATTATAAATTTACAGTTTTTCTGAAGTTCTCAAAATGGCTTTTTGAAAGGCCTTTGTGTTTCAATGTGTAAGATTCATTTTGACTCTAGTTGTGGTTTTGACTGATTTTTTACTGACTTTTTTACATAAATGTGAGCGCCAGACTGGACTCAAGACATGGGAATGAGATCGGGCTCAATAAGCGACACTGGTTTCCATAGCAACATAAGAACTGACATCAACATAACCTAGGGGGAGGGAGGGTTCTACCAAGGGAAAGTGCCAAGCCATTACGACTATATAGCACTGGGAAGGGGTCAGGATAAAGATTTAGGATGAGGACGGGGAGGGAAGGAATGGTGCCCAACCACCATTGGACGGTCGGGGATTGAACGCCGACCTGCACGAAGCGAGACCGTCGCTATACCGTCCAGCCCAAGTGGTTGGGCGAACCTAACTTAGATTCGCCCAAGGATAATACAAAAAATAATCATTCATTGTGTCGCGGGGATAAGCAGCCATATGTGTATGTATACACGTTAGGCTTATATCGAAGTCTCCCCCTCCCCCCAATAGGTCGAGTTATTGACCTCTTTCCAATGATACAACTCCCACATCAAGCTGACTAATGTTGACCAAACCACACACTAGAAAGTGAAGGGACGACGACATCCAGGAGGAAACGTCCTGGACCATTGACACGTCGTCGTCCACATATTTCAGCCACGTTATTGTGACTCCTCGTCAACCTGACTAATTCTTGGGTACCTACTTACGGCCTCCTGCAAGACACATCAACGAGCAACCATGAGAATTCCACCCAACTACCAAACTACAGCGTCAGCTGCAAGTCTTACTACCCACGGTGGTTAAGATCTCTCTTAAGATCTTCCCTCTTCGACTCGTCTCCAGTTCCTAGCTTAAGATTTCTGCATCCTCGCCCCTGCTTACCTGCTCTAGGGTCCTTGGAACTTACTGCTAGGTGAAGGCACGAGATGAATCACTTAATGAAGGCACATTAGGTGATAGAAAATGTACCCAACCATTTCTGTACCGTCCGGGATTCGAACCCGGAACTCTCGATTGTGAGTCGAGAACGAACCCGGCTCTCCTACCGGGACCTTCTCGTCAAGAATTGTCCACAAACTAACACAACTCACCCACAACACAGTGAAAACTTCAAGGCCAGGATTCAGCAAACCCTTTAGTGTCTATGTACGAAACCTGTACATCATTCCTCAATCATGGTGGCTTAGTCTGTATTTATAAAACAGTTTACGAGCTCCGACCCGCTACGAGGATGACCCATACGAATAAATTTGCTCGAAAAGGAACTCGCAGCGGTTTTCAGATCGTAAATTGTTTAAGAAATTTCAACTAAGCCTCCATGAGTGATAACAAATAAACAGGTTTCGTAAGTGGGCTCTAAAGCGCTTGCTGAACCACGGCCTTCAACCCAAGAATGAGTGGTAAAAAATAAGTGGTTTTCCTTCAATATCAAAATACTACAGTAAATAATGTATTAATCTCACTTATTATCGTTTTCTATTGCATTCAATGTGTAAATTTAGGTATAACTAAAGTTTTTATAAATTAATACAACTTTATTGTGTACATTTTCAACATAACAATGAAACAAAACAGTCAGAATGTTGCCAACGGAGGATAACACATTAACAAAAGAAAAGGTTCAACAACAGCTCCACACACATGTATTTATGTTGTTACTTTTGTGTGTGTATGTTGTATAACAAGGAGTGCAATCTGTATTATTTTGTGAAACCTAAATACACATATACACTCTTCTTTAGATCAGCATTCTTTCACTGATCCTTTGCGGCCTTTGTTGAGGTATATAACATATTTTTCCACAAATTTGTTGATATTTTGGCTAAACTCTCGATATTTGCCACAAACTTGGTAATACACACAAACTTTATTACATACATGAAGTTTTGATAATTTAGACATATTGGTTGATATTTGATGTAAATTTGCTGATATTTTAAGAAAACGTATTGATATTTTCTGTGATAGTGATCCGTAACCATGTAATTAGACTCGCAGGTGGAAAGTGACAGGAATTCGTCCCTTCAAGTTCAACTACGTTTATTAAGACAATAAAACACATCTCAAAGGGATAGAGTAGCTAAAGCTATTTCTATCCTCCTCATTCGTCCCTTACCGACCGCTGAGGCGCTGGGAGCAGCAGTAGTACTGGTTCTGGTAGTAGCTTTTGCACCAGTACCTGCAGCCTCCGTAGCCGTCACCGGGGTTGTTGATGTAGAGCTGGTTGTAGCCGCGCACGTAGTTGGGGAAGTTCTGCGGGGTGAAGAATCCTTGACCGAATGATAGTCCTGCTAAGCTCTGTCCTAGGAGTGGGTTGACGCCGCCTCCATGCCCTATGCCGAGGCCTCCAGGCTTAATGCCGCCGCCGATTATACCTCCACCGACGCCTCCATGCCCTATGCCGACGCCTCCATGCCCTATGCCGAGGCCTCCAGGCTTAATGCCGCCGCCGATTATACCTCCACCGACGCCTCCATGCCCTATGCCGACGCCTCCATGCCCTATGCCGAGGCCTCCAGGCTTAATGCCGCCGCCGATTATACCTCCACCGACGCCTCCATGCCCTATGCCGACGCCTCCAGGCCCTATGCCGCCTATTAAACTTCCACCTTTACCGCCATGAAGACCACCTCCTTGGATACCGCCGACGCCAATTCCACCAACACCGGGATATTTGGGACGCTGGGCGTGTGACGGAGCCAGGACGCAGACAGCCAACACCAGGGCGGCCAAGACCACGAAGTGACGCATGCTGGAATGTAAGAGACGGAGACACTTGAGACGGGGACCTTGATATTACTGTCTTACTGTCAACACAAACACACTTGGGGTTATAGTGGATGTTACCAATCCGTTATTCCCAGTTGAAAGAATAACGAACTCGTAACTTTCCATTAGAAGTAAAAGTAGAAATTAAGAGAAATAAAGATGTTAGGCGTTACCTCATAGTATATTATTATTATTACATTAATATATGAAGGTTGAAGCAAGAAACATCCCTGTATTCTTAGGGTAGTGTTGTATGGATTTTATATGTAAAGACACGCTGAGAATAGCCAGTGGTGCGAGAGGGTTATCTTGAGGTTATCTTGAGATGATTTCGGGGCTTTTTAGTGTCCCCGCGGCCCGGTCCTCGACCAGGCCTCCACCCCCCAGGAAGCAGCCCGTGACAGCTGACTAACACCCAGGTACCTATTTTACTGCTAGGTAACAGGGGCATTCAGGGTGAAAGAAACTTCGCCCATTTGTTTCTGCCTCGTGCGGGAATCGAACCCGCGCCACAGAATTACGAGTCCTGCACGCTATCCACCAGGCTATGAGGCCCCCGTGTTGGAAGTTGTTGGAAGCGGCTTAAGCGCACTGACCTGGAGGCAAGGATAAGCGAGTACCAACCTTACAAATGGCCAGTCAGTTCAGGGAAATGTAGTAGTAGTAATTCGAATTGCGGGTACCAGAAAGAGGTTACCAGGAATCTAGATAGATTAGTAATACTGTGATGGCGGATTAAGGTCAACTATGTTGAGTTTCCTAGTGTAAGTTGGAATAATAGGATTTCCTACTAATAATGTAGGTAGCTTAGCCATCTAAAATGGCGGCTGCGGCCATGCTGTTTTACCCCTCAGGTTAATTGTAAAGTTCATGATGTACCTATTAGTTTCAGTAAAGAAAACCCTTGCATGTAATTAGATATCCATTTTGCCACCTATTGTGAGAGTTTGGCCCATTAGTATTCTAAGATAGAGAAATGACTGATGATTTGTCATGCATCTGGCAACCCATAGTTTGTACAAGGCCTACCACTGGTCCTATGAAATGTTATATGTTTTAAATAGCCTATTCTTAATAGTATGGTTCCATTTGTGTTAAATGATTGTTAACTAAATTACCAGCTTAGATCTGCTCAACAGTTCTAAGCAACTGATTAAGAAGAGGGACTAGTATTTTAATTACTATATTGACCGGCGTCCGAACGTATCTCATGCCCGAACACTGTACCCGTGCCCATAAAAGTGACCTTGATATTACTCTTACAGACAACACAAACACACTTGAGGTTATAGTGAGACTAAGATTGTGGGGCTTCAATAACCTAAGCAGTGCTGACTCTCACGATTCAACATCATACACATGTTTTATATATTTTAGTATACTGATTATTTATTTAATAATGAAAATTAACACGTGATGAAAAATGTGACAGTGTCAGACCACGGAGGAAGAATTGAAACAGGAATTTCCTTAAGTACTTTCGTATATTAATATATCTTCAGAATGAATGAATGAATCATTCATTCATTCTTTTTGAAGATGTATTAATAATATATATTATATATATATATATATATATATATATATATATATATATATATATATTATATATATATATATAAATATATATATATATATATATATATATATATATATATATATATATATTTATATAGATAATGATCTATACTACAGCAAGACACGAATTACACATACACAACACAAGAACTCATGTAGAACAGAAAGAGTATGTGGGAGGAATTTGGTTTGGTGTTGGGCCTAAGGCCTACCAAGCTCCGGAAGGTTAAACTGTCCACCTATACACGTCTCTATGTATACGCCCCTGATGAGAAGAACAGGTTTAGATCCACATACATACCCAGCGGAAAATGTGTAGGATATACATACCTGGCAACGTCGGTGAGGTATACATACCTAGCGGTATGTGCCGTATGTACATAACCCGCTTTCTAACACACAAACACCAGGCTATGTATGTGTGTGTGTCTGTGTCAGATATACATACCTACCGATTTGTATCTCTGGTAAAACATACCTGGCAGAGTGTATCAGAAGTGAACGCCACGGAGAAGTGAGACCGAGGACCCGCACCACTCTGTATATATACTCCTAGGAACAGCTAAGACCCGTTCAACGCCCTCAGCCTCGCTGGGTTGCCACCCCCCAAAGCACCATTCTCCTCAGAATAGATCATAGTCCACAAATACTTAACCAAAACTTTGACTAAAGAGAGAAATCTCTGTAAATTCACAAAGTCTTCGAGCTGATAGATTATCGTTAATGTGACTGGGAAGCAAACAAAGAGTTGATATAGAAGTTGTGGGAGAATATACTATTTGCAAACTGCTGCTACAGGAACATACCGCTCGATGTAGCGTGTGCAACTGTGCTAAAAAATTGCATTGATCTTGAAATACATAAACCTGTATTCTGCAGTTATTCTGTTTCCTCTCGTTAGAAATAAACACACACACACACACACACACACACACACACACACACACACACAAACTGAAGTAGTCTTAGGTTAACTCAATGTAGTCTACATTAATTGGCTGATAGGAACCAGCACGGTTACTGCCAATTGCTACAGGCGACCGCCGGCCTATTCATAAATCGTGTTGACACAACCTATTTCAGTACACAGAAATTTGAAGATTTTGTTGAATTTAGAATTTACTACGAGTTTTTGTGGTCACCGAACCTGAATTGTCATCCTGCTGGCCGTTAATCTGACCTTCCTTGCCCCCCTATATGGTCTAAAAAGACCACTTTATGTTCCAGTGTGACCCGACCCATGTCCATGGTCCTAGACCGACCCGTTATGTGTTCCAGGGACACGATGACATAACCCAGCCTCCGTCTCATCTAACATTGTACACACGTGTCACTTGTATCAACTTTTATCTAGAAAGCCACCTTCAAAAGCACTTGTTGAAGGACTTCAGTCAAATAATTTCAAGTGCTCCACAATATGAAGAAAACTTTGATAACATGTTGTGTTATTCAATGATTTTAAATAAACTCTGGAAATACAGAGAAGCTCAGAGTGTGTTCTTTCGTAAGTATTGTGAAAAAGTTACACCCACACAACTTCCACGTTGCTGTGAGAGTGATTCAACTTTCTGGGGAAAGGCTCGTGACTCCATCTTAGATGTGAGGTTAATTTTGCACTCGTCTGAATGTGCATCAATAATATTGTGAGAGTGTGAGAACTACCTCTGAGGTGAGACCCAGCCCCATACATAGCGAGGCTTATCTGTAACAAGGTACAACTACATTTAAGTGTGAAGACGTAAAGAAATCAAGTCAGAATCAACATCTTACCAATCGCCAGCAGGCAGGTGATGCGTCACAATAACGGGGCTGAAGATATGATAACCTAACCCCCACACTAGAAAGTGAAGGAACGAAAACGTTTCGGTCCGTCCTGGACCATTCTCAAGTCGATTGAGAATGGTCCAGGACGGACCGAAACGTCGTCGTCCCTTCACCTTCTAGTGTGCGGTCTGGTCAACACGGATTGAGAATGGTCCGGGACGTAGCGAAACGTCGTCGTTTCTTAACTTTTTGATTGTGTGGTTTGGTCATTCCATCCCCAGCAGGGTCTAAACCGCTCATTATCGTGGACGATATGAATAACAGTGCTACGACAACACTACAAGTGACGTACATATGGCCAGTTAAATAGTTGTGAACTATTTAAGAACTAACTACTGCACATCCCACACAATTCTGTTGGAATGTTAAAAAAATAACATTTTGATTTTAAAGATAACTATTTCTAATCAATTTCTTCTGTCCTTCACTCGTGGGGTCGATGGTTCGAGTCTCCTAGTACTCAGGTGAATGAAACTATTTCTAATGTTCAGCAAATTTTAACAAATTCTTCAATATTACATACTACCCACTTGATTAAATGCTTTCTCAATTTGATCGTGTTTGCCTACTGATGTTAAACTATTTTATTATCTTCATGTACGAAAGAAAATGATTGTTAGCGTGAGACAAAATAATTGTATGAGAATTTTTATTTATTCTAACACTTGAGACCAAAAAATATCGTAATACTGCCTGAAGAGTTTTTTTATTCTGATAATCTATTAACAGATTGTATAATGGTGCAGTGAAAATAAATTTATTAAACTAAATTTTGCAATACATTATTGCAAATATTTGATAAACGATCTTAAATACTATATACATTGCAAACAAGAGTAATTTTTTTTAAATTTACCCATTGAATGTGTATGATTATATACACTGAATGTGGCATAACACCCATTATATACATCGTTCTGTCATTGTATACATCGTTATATCATTATATACATCGTCACATCATTTAATACATCGTTAAATCATTGTATATCGTTATATCATTATATACATTATTTTATCATTACACACATACTTTTATCATCGTACGCATCGTTATATTATTGTATACATCATTATATAACTGTTTACATCGTTAAATCACTGAATACATCGTTATATCAAATGTATTCAGATCAATCGATCGCGTGAATGAAGAGCGTGGCGAGGCGGAACGGCTCTCCGACGGCATCGTCATCGAAGAGAGCTCCAGAAGCTTCCAGGTGGTTCTTCGTAGTCTCATGAGGGGGAGCAACAAGTGTACTCGCCCTTGTACTTCTTAAGGCACCAGTACTTACAGCCTTCTTGGCCATCGCTAAGCCTTCCTCCAAGGCCTCCGTCGGCGCCTCCAAAGCCACCAGCAACTTGTCCTCCGAGAACCCCGACGCCTATTCCTCCAAGTCCTCCGAAGCCGTTGGCAGCAGTTTCTTCAAAGCCGCGGTTGCCTCTAATGTCAACGACGCCTGCAAATCCGTTGCCATCAGCAAATCCGGGATTGAAGTCGGCGCCTCCATAGCCAGGGCGGCTGCCATAGCCATAGCCACCATAGGGACGGTGGGCGTGTGACGGGGCCAGGACGCAGACAGCCAACACCAGAGCGGCCAAGACCACGAAGTGACGCATGCTGGAATGTAAGAGACGGAGACACTTGAGACGGTGACCTTGATATTACTGTCTTACTGTCAACACAAACACACTTTAGGTTATAGTGAGACGGTGACCTTGACAACACAAATACACTTGAGGTCGTACTTGAAAACGTCTTCAACTATTTAATGATTTGTTTCAAAGATTTATATCTTATTAAAAAAACAGACATGTCCTTAACAATTAATACATATTGTGCTATTGTATTTGTCTATCAACAAACAGTAGATCATCATAACGAATTAAATAAACCAATTTAAATCTACATCTTGAAATGTTTCCTTTATGAAAGAACTCAAATCATACTCCTTGCAAGGAGGTCTCTCTCCCTGACGATGTGTTCCAAGAGAGTCTACGCCTCGATATATACACCCAGAGATGTATACTCGGCTTATTGGTGTATACACACTGAGTTTACTTTAGTCCTGGACTAAAGTATTCTTGCCGATTGGTCAGTAAACTGTTGCTGCCTTAAATAACCTTGTATAGATTGATAGGTGCTAAGCCCAACGCCAAACCAAGAGACTCTTGATTTATCAAGAGCACAGACTAGAGTGA